ATTTCCCGAACACTCCAATATAGTATATGAGTATAAACTATTTCTCAAATTCTTCGACAGCAGTTTTAATTTGAGACTTCGACAACGGCCACGCGATAAACGCAGCACCGGAGGAATTTTAGCTATTCTACAAAGCACTGAATAGGCTAAAAGATGAAGAAGTCAAGGATTGAAGCCATTCACAAACCATTCTACGCAATTTCCTCAACAAAGCACTGGAGAAATTGCAGGGAAAGCTTATCATATCCAAAGTGTCCCAGACCCCTCTCTAAAAAAATGATGAGTCTGAGATACTTTGGAGGGGGTATCTGTAGGCGTCAAAAAATGCTTACAGACGTCCAAACACCACTCAAGATAACATAGAAGATCGTTATATACATCATCATGCAGCTACATGGCAGCGCGGTAGGACATGGTGCCACGGCTAAGGCGCGGCAGACCATAGTGCCGCGGCTAAGGCGCGGCAGACCATGGTGCCGCGGCTAAGGCGCGACAGCCTATGGTGCCGCGGCTTAGCCGCTGCAACCTATGGTGCCGCGGCAATTACAAGAAGATGTTGTGGTAGTTATAAGGCAGTTATTCGATGATGTTTTGAAGTCTACGTGGCGGCGTATCAGAAATAGAACGTGTGCTGACGTGGACAAGCAGTTAAACCACGAAAAAGGTGGTTAAAGGTCGTGGGAGAACTGTTTCAAACACGTATGAACGTGGGTGTAACTGCCCCTTTAGCCGCGGCAGTGTCGACTGCCGCGCTCTTTGGCCGCGACAGTGTCGACTGTCGCGCCCTTTAGCCGCGACAGCATCAACTGCCGCGCCTAAAGAGGTGGTTGTTGATCGGCTATTTCTTCAGTTATCGTCTAAGGAGGCTATAAATACCCCCCTATGGCCATCATTAAGAGGGCTGAACATTTTCCAGGGCAGATTAGAGCAGAGAGCCTTGAGTTTTGGTGAATTAGAGCAAGAGAGAGAGTCTTCCTTCTTCACAAACATCCTCAAGAAGCTTCTAGCGAGTCCTAGAGATCTAAGCTCAGACTTGATCTTTGGAAGAGTGAACATCTTACATCGATAAGATATTCGCTTCAAATTCTTACTTCGATAAACGAAGGAAGAATCATTAAACCCCTCACGGTTCAATCAGAATCTGTGATTTGGTGGTCCACGAGTCAAAGCGCTCCCGGCACAGGCAAAGATCCCACGCAAGCAGCGATCCAAACAACGATCCTGCGTTTGTTTCTAAAAAGTTGTAATTTTCCTTTTGTTGTGTAAAAGAAGTCTTATAAAAAGACTATCTCTTTTGAATTTGTTGTAATCGACCGAAGATATAATGAATTCCATAACAAAACCAACTTTTGACGCAAACACTAATCATGTGACATTGTATGTTAGTGACTTAGTTTAAGATAATGTTTACTTGCAAAACATAGAACTAGTCAACTAAAACTCATGTCAAAAGGAGCCTTGAGCATCAAGCCTCTCTTAGCAGTTATCAATAAATGTCTACCAAAAGGTTCATGGTTGTTATTTGTCAAATGTTTTGTGCCACTTTTATTTTGCTTGGTTGAAATTTAAAAGTTTCTTTATTACGTGTGTGCTTCCCAAAATTGATGTGCTATTAAAAAAAATTTTCAACTATATCATGTCTTTAAATGATCAATTTAGCATCTGTGATGATGGTAGTGATGATGAGAGTACTTCTAAACGTAAAATAAGACAGACATCAAAAGTTTGGGATCATTTTACAAAGTTACCTACCAATAATGATGAGAAAACTAAAGTTCAATGTAATCATATTTATGTTGGTAGTCACGGCACTAAGACAATGTTAAGGCATATGAATTCTTGCCCGAAAAGGAACTTAGATGAGGTTGATTCTTCAAGGAAAAATATGCCACTAAATCAAGAAAAATATAGAGAAATACTTGCTAGAGTAATTGCATTGCATGGTTATCCATTCACTTTTGTCGAACATCGAGAAAACCTTGAGTTTCATTTTTTTTTTTAAATTCTAAAGTCAAGCATATTTCTAGGAACGCTGCCAAAACAGATTTGGTCAAGTTGTACAAGAAAGAGAAAGAAAATCTTAAACAAACTTTAAAGCTAGTTCCTAGTAGAATTTATCTAACCACGGATTTATGGACCTCTTCCACCTCCGACTACTATTTGTCTCTCACCGCACATTATGTTGATGACTGTTGGATGTTGCAGAATAAGATATTAGTTCTATCTCATGTTCCACCCCCATATAGTGGAGAAATTCTAGTAGAGAAGCTATTTCATTTGTTGAAGGATTGGGGTATTAAAAAAAGAAGAAATTTTACTGTTACTTTGGACAATGCAACAAATAATGATGCTTTCATGAGGATTTTAAAAGATCATCTATTTTAGAAGATCATTTTGTTAGTAATGGTGATTTTTTGCATGTGCGGTGTCGTACTCATATTCTAAATATTATTGTGCAAGATGGCCTAAAGGTTATTGATAAATCATTGTCTAAGATAAGAGAATGCATCAAGTACGTGAAGGGTCCTCCTGGAAGAAAAAGAAGTTTCCAGAGTGCATTGCACAAACTTGTTCAGGTAAAGCGAAAAAAATCAATAGGATGTTTCCAACAGGTAGAATTCTACATTTCTAATGTTGGAGTGTTCTGAACTTTCGTCGGGCATTTGAGCACTTGGAGTTTAGCTAAATTTTTCTACAAAGATTCCAATGCAGTCAATTGTTATTGCTGTAAAAGGCCATGATACTCTCAGGAAGCAATTTACTTATTGGCATGTGGCAAATCAGTATGATTCTTATACTTGTGATATTCGTCAGCAATTTACGTTATTGCTGTAATCTGACAGTCACTTGGAGTCGCGCCCGCCCCCCCCCCCCCCCCCTCTTCTGGAATGCATTAATTCTTGCGGGGGTTTCTTGAAGTATGAAGATGATTGGCATGTCGATGGTAAGGCTGTTGGCAAAATATCAACAAATTACACTAGAATTACGACATTGATTATCTTTTTTTGCAAGGTGACTTTGTGGAAGCTGCTGAGCAGTGTATCACAATCTATTAGTACTGATTATACTACTTGTTTTAACTTTTTAAACATATGACTTGCAAATGTATCGTAATCTATTAGTACTACAATAGCATCTTTTATATTCGGAAGCAAAGTTAGTTGAAGCTATTTATGAACTTAAATCAAGCAACGGTAATGCAAAGTTTGTGTCAATGTGATTTGTATCATGTTCTCATGTGATATATTATTGTATTTATTAGTATTTTATCACAAACCTAGCACCAGGCCATGAGTATCGATTGCTAGTTTTAGTTATTGACATTTGGATTAAACTCTACATTTTTGTTCCTTACTGTAAATACATATGTTACACAAAGCCTAATATATTATGTATTACATCATCTGTATATTTGCCAATAGAATTCTTCTGACTCATTTGTTGAATAAAAAATCTATTTCTAGTTTCTAATTCTCCAAGGATTCTATTTTGGGGGAAAAAACTCCTATAAATTTTCCACAAAACAACCCTCAAAAAGTTGTAATAACCCCCTAAAAAGTTTACAAAAAATACTCAAAAAATCTGCAAAAGGCCCCCAAAAAGTTTGCAAAAAACCCCCAAAATTTTACAAAAAGCCCCTTAAATTTTACAAAAAGCCCCCAATAGTTTACAAAAAACCCTAAAAGTTTACAAAAACACCTCAAAAGTATTATATATATATAGTTACTATAGTTAAATGGGCAAATGAGTGACCCGTTTATTAAATGGGTGGGCAAAAACTCGCACATTTAGAAAATGTTAAATGAGTCATAAATGGGTAAATGGGCAAAACATGCTTGCCCATTTATGACCCGCTCATTCATCGCTTTAACACCCTGACTCCTGACCTAGTTCTAAGTGGTTGCCAAACACACACTTAGACTTAAGTTTTGCTACCATCTAAGCCATGGTAAGGACTACTAATTTTGCCCTGTTTTCAGCTGTAAATGATATGGTTGAAAGATATGGATGAAAGAGAAGCCATCATTGATTTCTTTGAATCGTGAAGAGAATATTCTTGATACGATAAGTGGTAAGGCCCTTGATGACACGGGATACAAACGATGCTTGCTGGGGTTTCTCCTTTTAATTTATAGGTAACCTGTATAGTCCCTGTTAAAAAAAAAACAAATAAAATTAAGGAACAATATCCTATTCCTAATATTCCCCTAAAAAAACTCCAACCCCATTTACCCAATTTGCGTAAATAACACGAATTTATGAGTTTGAGGATGGTTCGGTCCTATCAAGAGCAACATTACCTCATTTATTTCGCAGGTTTTCTCTCAGTTAATGATTTAAGCAGACAAGTGTGTGTGGCTTGTTAAGATTGGCATCAAAATCTTTCTTTTCCATTTTAATCAAAGAAATCGTGTCTTTATCCAACCAGTTGCACTTCATGTTTTTGTTGTAGCTGAGTGATTTGTGAGGTGAGAGATATAATGGTGAGGTGAGGTGAGGTGAGGCTCACACATGCATCCAATTCTTTGTCTGAAATTGGAGCCCACTGAGATTCTTGAGCAGGACCTGAGATAAACCCTCACACTTGAAACTCTCTCTCTCTCTCTCTACATACAAACAAATCCCTTATAAAAGAGTGGCAGTGAGATCTATCCTTTTGCCTTTTATTGGCAGGGGAGTTCTGTTCTTGTCTTCAATTGTGGCCTTTGTTCCTCTCTCTCTCTCTCTCCAATCTTTCCATTGAGCTCTCAACATTGAGATCTCTGCTTCACTATTGAAAAGGGTTGAAGAGAAAAAGAGAGGGAGGGAGAGAGAGAGAGAGAGAGGCTTACCTTGTGAATCGTTAGCTTTTGAGTCCAGAAAATTTTTCTCTCCATAATACTAATGTGCTTCATATCTGAAACCAACCCTTTTCTCTCTACTCTCTGCATTTTCTCATTTATTTTTGTCTTATGTTATTCTTTCTGATTATTAGCTT